TCAATGTACAAATAAAATTGGAACCAGATTCAGGAACTGGCTGTTGACTCTCGGTGATGGATAACATTATTTTTTTATGCTTTACCAGTTGACTGCTCCCCATTCGTTCCAAAACGTTTTAATGCTCATTTTAAAATGGGAAGTTTGGTACACACATTGATCTCCGCTAAAGCCTCATTGGATGACTAAGGAATAATGCTGACGTCTTATTTTATGCAAATCATGATCCTTGACTAAGTATGGGGTCACGTTGAACATTTATCAACAATTCAGCGCACCTTATCAACAGCGTAAAGAAACTTAAACTGACACCTTCTAATGTCATTTAATCTTAGTGCCCTTCTTAATAATATATGAGACTATCACACATGATGATAAATCACTTTTTTCAACACACTCGGGAACAGCAATTGCCTCCAAAATAATCCAACCCATACCACCCCCACCAAACCCAAAATATTAATGAAAGTAAAATAGAAGAAAATTAATGACGTTACATAATAGATTGGCCGATCTATTAGTACTTATCGAAGGTTTGTAGATGGATATACGACCTGTTCTGTATGGTCAGAGCTACAAACATTTAAAGTCGCTCTCAAAACTTAATTTTTTCTTTCTTTGTTTGTTTGTTGTTTAACGCCGCACTCAGCAATATAACAGCTATAGTCTGGAAGGTAATTTAAGGTAATTTAAGGTACCGACGTTTACTACAATATCTGTAAAACTATTGGACCTACTCCAGTCAGAGTTGGTATGAGATTATTAAACAGTCATACATAACTGGATATTACATTTAAAGACAATCGGTGCATAAAAAAAATGTCTATTTTTCTATCACTATATTTCAGACCGAATGTTTATTCGACGAATATTTTAAAAAGCGTCATACGTCAAAACGTTCAAGGCCATAGTGAAACTTTCAAAATGTTTTATTGCAGACATTAAGGGGTGTAACCAACGGGTGTGCCATGAACACACATGACCGGGTATTAGGCTAACGTGTAAATAGAGACATAATCAAAACAAATAAATGTGAATCTTAAGTTAATGATCGGCCATGGACGTCTGTGTACCAGACCATAGACATAAGGTTGTCTCGTCCTAACGCCACGACAGTGCATGAATGATTCCACAAGGAACAGTCTAGCCTTGATGACGAGCCAATGTCGTCGCGTCCAAGATTTTTGCACTTATATAGCGACGTACATGCACGTGTGTGTATGGCTGCTTGTACAAGTCTGGCCGCCGTCATATAGCAGGGATATTGCTGAGTGCGGCGTAAAACAACCAACCACCCAACCAAATGTACTAGTCTGGACTGATGCCGATTTATAGTGCTAGCCCACTGAGATACCATTCCGCAGTTTAACATGAATACCCCACTGAGTCACAGTATACTCCGCGCCGACCAGTCCTTGTTTTAACACCTTTATCCTGAGCGCCAGATTGGGTAACAAGAAGGGCCATCTTTTAACGTCTTTTGGTATGACGCGGTCGAGGGTCTAATCCTGACCTCCGGGCGGACGCTCTACCACTAGACCACGGAGGCGGTCAAGAAGGGCATAAACGCATTACAACACGAAATTGGGATGCGGCGTCCCCCAAATCGGTAATAGCCACACATGTATGTGTGTGCGCGTGACCCCATGTCAAGTTAACAATCATTACTAAGTATATAAGACCGCCTCCGTGATCTAGCGCCCGCCCGGAGAGCGGAATGTCCGGGGTTCGATCCCTTGCCGCGTCATACAAAAAGACGTTTACAGATTGTAATTGTTGTTACCCTGTCTGTTGCTCGGCTTTAAGTGGCTAAAACAGGGACTGGTCGGCTCGGAGTCAGTATACTGTGTCTGATGTTAAACTGCGACATGGCATCTCAGTGAGCTAGCACTATCAATCGGCATCAGTCCGGACTAGTACAAGCAGCCACACACACACACATACATACACGTGCATGCACGTCGCTATATCAGTGCTATTATCTTGGATGCGACGTTAAACCCCATTTCACCTCACTAAGTATACACTCCCCTTGCAGCGACTGGTCCAACTAGGCTAACGCCGTGAGTGGCCTTTGACGTCTCCCGATCATGCCATGTCTTATGGCGGAACGGTCAGCACTCATTGCTGGCCATTGCATTTTGGCGATGTTTTTTTCTGGCGTATGTCGTCAGAAAAAAACGTTGGCCAGCACGGCGCTCAAATTGCACAACTATTGGCTGAAATAATGCCAATGCGACGTTAAATTTTAACACACTCACACTACTAGACCAGTGACGAAAGTGTGCCCTCTTGAAACGGACAGCATTAGCTGATAAAGTACCAGATGTCACTGAACAAAAGGACAACACAGGATTCTATGGATTCTATTCTGACATTCGAAATGTGAACATTTGTGAGATTGATGGATTTAACATGAGAATCTATCCAATGTGAGATATACAATTTTGTGACAGAACCTTGACCAAAAAGATACGATTGTGGATGTGATCGAGGATATTATTTCGATTGTGGAAAGTTGGTTACTATTTTGTGTTGACAGACTCTATCAAGGAGGGGGATATGGACATAAGGATATTGTCATCACAGATTGTATTGCTGTGAGTATGTTATGTTTCCGAACAGGTAGTTCTGTTTCGTTCCTGTGTGTGAAAACAGTTCACGCACACACTGCTTTACTTCGTGGTTACATATCTAAAAGCATGAAAAAAGCATGCATGTGCGCCAGGTGTCGACCACCATGTGTCGTTGTTATTCAGTTTGGCTTAAGAGTTAGGATAGGCAACATCGTTCGACACGCGAGTCATTTGGTAATTGTGGTTATAATAGAAATTTGAGAATTCAGAAACTTTGTAAATGTGAATTGAAGTACAATAGTAATTGTTGTCTGTAATTGTTGCTTGAAACTAAATAAAACTATCGTACATGAATTAGTGTTATTTGCCTGTCTATTGCACTTGTACTGTTTCTGTTGACCACACACCAAGTGGAAAGCTATTCCAATAGCTATAAGCTCGGATTATGCAATAAGTGTTAAATTGTCACAAACAGGCTACTGTGATGTTGATGTAATAGCCAGTCGACTACCATCTACAAATGTTTTAAACTCTTTATACTGCAATGCCCTTGATTAACTGATTGATATATATGATAATCTGTGTGAATTAGGAACAGTTTTTATCTTGGGCGATTTAAATGCTGATGTTTGTAAGGGCAATCTAACAGCACGGGATAAGCTACTTAGAAATGTTGTAGAAAATAGACATCTAATACATGCAGTAAATATGGTACAATTCGGAGGACCAGGATATATACTGAACCAAATTAAAAACTTCACAATCCTAAAATTTTAACATTTTGACCAGTTATCATTGTGGGCCCTTGTTGTGTATTTAAACAGTAATGGCCACGTATTGTGTTCAGATAACACCCGTTTTTGTGCAGGTGAATCGATCAAAATCATGTGCACAGCACTATAGTGGCAAAAGTGTTTTTTCACGTGCAACTGGTCACGTGGCCATAATACCGCACGTGTTTTCAGCCATACTTGTAAGCAGGCATTAACTAAAAAGAAAAACACAAGAAAACAGAAGTCTTTACGGCCATTTGTCATGCCACACCTTTCAAATGTGCAACGTGAACGTGCAATCGGCATGTTGCAGACGGGAACGTCCGTAGCCGAAGTCGCAAGGACGATGGGTTGTAGTCGACGGACTGTTTATTATTTACAGACGCGTCTACAGCAAATGGGTACCAGTGCTGATCGCCCTCAGCCAGGTCGACCACGTCTGACGTCACATGCAGAGGATCGTCAGATTGTCTTACGTCACCTCCGTAACCGATTTTTGACGGCTACATCAACCAAAAATGAACTGTTTAGGGTAAGACTGAGTGCGCAAACTGTTCGAAACAGTCTGAGAACTGCTCACCTTCAAGTACGACGGCCATACTGCGGGCCGATTCTGACTCAATTACACAGACGTCAACGTCAATTGTGGGCACAGCGACACTTACGATGGTCTTGGAATCAAGTCGTCTTCAGTGATGAATCCCGATTTAATCTTCGACTTGCTGATGGTAGGGCGAGGGTGTGGAGGCGCCGTCATGAACGATACGCCCAGTGTTGTGTAAAGGAAGTTGACAGATTTCTAGGCGGAAGTGTCATGGTGTGGGGTGCTTTCTGTGGCAATGCACGTTCCAGGCTTCTTGTCATCCATGGCAACCTCAAAGCTGCTGCTTACCGCGACCAGGTTCTGGCACCAGAACTTTGCAGTTTATGGCAGCGCATGGACCCGGTTTGATCTTCCAACACGACAATGCCAAACCCCACACAGCAATTTTGACAAGGAATTTCCTTCAGAATGCGGGAGTCAACGTCATGGACTGGCCGTCAAGGTCTCCCGACCTCAATCCCATCAAACACGTCTGCATGAGTCAGGTGGTCAAAGAGAGAGTACAGAGAGTATGACTGACATAGTATTATCGAGTAGGGACAGTTTGATGATCTGATTACTCAACACAGACAGCAGATGTGCGTATTTTTCTTGTGACAAAGCATTCGACGAGTTTTCAACAGCCTGGGGCGACTGGGATAGTATCCCACGAGCTAAACAAGGATGTTAAAAACTGCTAAATAAGGGTAACAGTCTCCCGTGCTCATCTTATCAGATGTAGTGTCTCGTTCGGGGGCCGGGTATCAGAGGTGTCAGGGCTGTCACATATATTCGTGTTAGCGTAAATCATACTAACTGTAGTTTCTGTTTCTTTCTGATGTTCCTTTTAGTCATAATCCTGCATCACCTTCACACAACTTGGGCAGTATAGATGTGGTAGCATTCCCTGGCAGTTGTTTGCGAGTCAGAATTGAACCGCCCCCTCAACAATCGACTGGCTCCCATCTTCTTCGCACGTCACTCAAATTCACGCTAAACAAATGAAAAGTTTCGATTATATGCACATCTGTTGACGAACCTAATTTTAACGTATATATAATGCAGGATCTCATGAACAGGATAGACTGCTTAGCCGCCGTCACGAAGCCAGGTTGACGTTCCAAAACAAGGTAGGGTATATCATATGATGTATATTTGTCAATTCACTTTCCACTATGTATACTTTCAACTTCATATTAAAGAAATCAGGTACTGCTGCAGTATGCAAAGCGCCGCACTCTATGTGTAACTGCTCTGTTAAAAGTCCAAAAGTTAACAGTAAACTAAAAAGCTGAAAGTAACTGGGAATACAAAGTCACTGTGTTTCTATGTTGGTTTGACGTCAAAAGTAAAATCTTTTCCCTGTTAAAGCGCCATGAAATCTCGCACAAACGTTAGACATTTCGCTATAATAATGAGTGGAATCATTTCGTAAGGAGACAGTGTTTATTAAAGTCTTACTTGCTGTACAATCGTGACTTCAAACGTTTTTATTTTTTCATTTTACATGAAAAGTGCTAAAGTCTATTCATAAAATACACCAAGAATAGTGATTACGACGCCTTGATTTACAACGTTTATGGCCTCATTTTTCATACATTGGTGACTTCAAACGGATATGTCAATAAAAAGAAGGCGAAGCCATTGTACAGTAAAATACACTGAAGTGTACATAAAGGGGTTTGAGGTATTGAGAAGCCACTAAAACAGTAAAACTAGAATGTAAACCATAGAATACAAAAAAATATTTACAACACTATTTGACACATATTGTATCGCATACACACACAGCTCGTCACGGAAGCCCATTTCTGGTGTTCCCCACGGTGATATTGCTGGAATATTGCTAAAAGCGGCATAAAACCAAGCTCACTCACTCATACACACACGCGCGCGCACACACGAATGCACGCATACACAGTGAATAATTATAATCAAGATTATATTAGTGGAGTAAGATAAACACTGTTTTAATTGGCTAGCGCTTTCAACTCTTACCAGTTATGCCCAGTTACAATTTTCAAGTAATCAGTAATGCTTTCAAAACGTTTTATGGCAGACATGTGGAGGACGTTTCCGATATTGACGCATCAGTGACAAAAATGATGTCCAATTCCCTATTTTGACTTGTACCATATGTTCCTATGTTTTTTCGGGTGAACAATAATTGACTTATATAATTATAACTATTTAGGAATTATTTATCAGAGATCTTGGATCCTAATTAACAGGTGTTTCTCAAACGTGTTTTAGCTAAGTTTTCTAAATTTGTTTCGGAGTTGGTTGAAAGGCTGCAAACGTTGCACTGTTAGGGGAATGTGGTCGTTATGGTATTGATATTTTCACTAGATGTGTGAAATACTGTTTTAAACTCCTCAGTATGTCTCGAGGCAGATATACCAGACGGTGTTATGATATGTTAGTTGAACTATATGCAGTCGGGAGAAAACATGGGCTTCAAATATCAAGAATATAACTTTTTCTTAGTCTTCATTCAAAATATTTCCCATTTTTCAATGTCCATACTTATGTTAACCCAAGGTATACTTTGATAACAATGCTGCAGTCCTCCGATATATGCTTTCTTAAACATTTAGCAGATTACATTTAAGATGCCATCAATCTACTATCTTCACATTTGTACATAATTGCACTCGTGTTCGAGATACTATCATTGTATTAATTGTACGTTGGCCTGAGAATGATGATGATACATACTTAAAAATACCATTCCTTGTCGTCACTGTGATAGTGTTCAATTCTCTACATAGTTTTACCCGCCAAGATATAAGTAAGTATCATATTTCATTATAACATATTTTCTTTTTTTTTCATATTTTTGTGCAAAGCAACTGTGCAATATGAATTTCCGTTAGGATAATAAAGTCTTATCTTATCTGATGTCTCTTTGTCTTTATGTGAAACCATAGGAAAATACACCATGGCCAGTGTCAGGCAATGACCATGTTCCCAGGCATGGGCGTTAACTGACTATAAAAGTCCAGTTTCCATCCTTGTCGAATTAGGGGATACTGTTACATCTCGAGCTTGATCGAAATCCGAATGGTACGACTCGTCAATGGTTTTGATCCTTCTTACGGGTAGGCAACTTCGACGTGACTCTTATGTTCACGACGTGACTAGCGAGTTTAGTTACTGTAGTTAATAAGTATCCCTTCCTATGTGGTTATATGTTTGTAATCAGGTAATAATTCACCTTTTCGTTGATAACGTCATCATGCTGTTTTCAAATAGACCGCTTCTTCCTCTTTATGAATCTGAACATAGTTTATTATCGTATCCTCCACTTGACTCAACGAAGACGGCATTGCCTAAAAGTCGGCATTGCCTAAAAGTCAGGTCAGGCCGGGCCAAGACGGGCCAAAGTGTTATTGGCTAATTACATCATTGTCGGCGATCATACCTACATATTATTGATGCAACATACACACATGACATTACTGAACAACCACCAACAAAAACGGGCACCATAATTAAGTATTTCGGAGTAAATCACTTGAAAACCAGTGCTGTGTGTAAGCGTCGCTGGTCTAGGTAAAATCGTTAAACGAAATAAGATTTGAAACGTACCAAATACTTCTAGCTATCGTGATACAAACTTTCATCTGTCGGCGTAGCGTTTATATTTATAGGAACGTACTATATCTAAATAAATACCACTTTGTAATGTCACTGTTCATCGTATTTAAAGCAGACACGTTGGTTGAAGTAGACCTCTGCTCCTCATACTCTCAACAGTCTCACAAATGTTCGGTCTGACTCGGACCAGGCTGTCAAAATCAACTTAAACCTCACAGATGTAACATGAAATGGATTCACACCTATAGATTAGTATTATATCTAAACAAATAAATACCACTTTATAGCGTCTTAGATCGCGGTATTTAGAGAAAACAAGGTTCTCAAAGTGAAGCCATTTCCCCTCTACATTTGACTTGGCCCGGGCTGTCAAAATCAACTTTAAACACACAGATGTATCTTCAAATGTGTTTACATCTATAGATCGGTGTTATATCTACCTATATACCACTTTATAATGCCATAGTGTATCGCATTTAAAGAAAACTGCACCGTTAAAGTCAAACTCTTTTACTGTATTTTCTTAAGAAAATCTCTGTCAGAAGTGTTCGTTCCGACTTGGCCCGGGCTTTCAAATGAACTTAAACCTCACAGATGTAACATGAATTGGATCACATCTATAGCTCAGTATTTTATCTACCTATATGTACCACTTTATAGTGTCTCAGATCGCGTTACAGGGGCAGAATATTTCCACAGCACCCCATTGCTGGTCGTAAAAGGCGACCAAAGTGGGCAGCCCGTTTGCCGTGGGTTGCGTCCCTGTGTCGGCGGAGGACGGGAGTCTGGTGGTTGAGAGCACTGGATCCAGGAATTGTGTTCCTTTGCCCAATACACCACTTTAACCCTTACTTCGCCTAGACGGGCGGTAAGATGGGCCCGGTCACAGCAAAAAAAGTGTAGGTTTCCGTCTTCCGGAAACCTTCCCATTTTGGATCCGCCCCGGATACCTTCCGGAAACCCTCCCAAAAAAATGTCAAAATTTGGGGGGGTGCATTTTGTTCACTTAAGTGTGAAACACATAAAAAAGTTATCTTTAAAATACCAACCCATTTGAAGGTTGCTGAAGGCATCTGGAAGGTTTCCGAAAGGTTTCCGGAAGGTATCCGGATGCAAATTTTCTTCATGTCTTGTTTCTGGTTAATAATGTTACCCTGTGCATTACCGATAGCTGTTGTAATATTCTGTGTTATTTTAGTTGTAAATATCCTCCTCAAACTGAGATATGTGGGCATACATTGTTCACAAGTTGTTTCGCGACATGGGTACAAATGTGTGAAGCTTATTGCTGGTGTCTCCCACCATGATATTGTTGCAATATTGCTCAAAGTGGCAAAACAGCATTCTCACTCAGAAACAAATGGAAAGTCATTGGCTATGTGCTTTGGCATTTGGCCCTGGTGAGATTGAAGATTAGTACTTATTATATCGGGACAGTGTAGTTTCATGGGAATATGAAACAGAATACAATTGTCCCAAATTGGTGCATAAGACTAATGGCATCTATAGAAAACACCTAAATAAAGTACAGAAAAAATATCAATGTCATTTGTCTACTAAGGTGGAACTACAACTTTTGTTAAGTGAGCTGTATTTATAGTAGGAAAACATTCAGGGCATTAGGACATTTTATATTTGTTCAGCACCTATGTTATGGCTGATCAGTATTATATTTCTTTATGCTAATGAAGCAAAACAAATAATGTTTTTGGAAAAAAATCTTATTTATTGATTATATGGCATTTCATTGGTACATATCACAATGAAATTTGATCAAGCATCAGTGTACACAACCTGGACATAAATTTGCTTTGGCATAAATTCATTCAGACTTCATTAGTGTCATAATAAAACCACCTACAATAACAATGATGTGGCATTATTCATTCAGAATCATCACTTTCTGAGGTGAATCTGTTGGTTGTTATCGGAAGGATTGTTCATCATCCGGCGAGTCCCTTGTCTGAATTGTGTGAGCAAGATCTTCTTAAATGTAGCTGGCGTCAGATTGTGAAATCCAGGTACCTGAAACAATTCATAACATCTTTGAAACTTGTTAGTAAAAAATAATGAAACCCACACATATTCACAAATGTTTAAAGTTGTTTTCTCGAACAGTGAGGTATTGACAATTTATCTTGCAACTGATATTTAAACAATCTTTGAACATGTAAATAAGCCATTGCAAACAGAAAAGTGTTCAGAAAATACAAAAATGTATCGGGTCTTCTAAAACAATAACTTAAGCACCACAAGGTTCACCTGAATTTTGCTTGAATGTTTGCATTACATCAAAATGTAAGGAAAGGTAAACAGGACAATGCAAAACTAAGGTACATAGGTTCTTATACATAAAAACAGAACTATTCATAATAATCAAAACACATGTCATGTAAGTGATCTCAAAATACAACATAATGAGCGAGTGAGTTGGTATAGTTTCATGCAGCTTGTTAGCAATATTCCAGCTATGGGCTTCACACATCGTACCCATGTGGTGAATTGAACCCGGGTTTCAGAGACTGTTTTA